GTGACATCAGAAAAATAAGCACAGTTGCCATCAAAGACAGTTTACAAAAGGTCAAAGTAATGCATTGACAACAAATCCTGAGGACAGCATAAATTTGTCGCATCGTCACAGTTTGAATGTTTTAAAGAAAATGTTAAGTGCACTTTTAAGAACACATTTTCTTTTATTTTTATTAAAACAAAAAAATAAATTAGGTTTTGATTTTTTTTTTGAGTGTCTATGTTTGTTAGTATGTTAGTGGATGTTCAAAAGTGTGAGACTACTGAAAATCTAGTATCTAAAACCAAATTTAAGTGTTATGTTAAAATAAAAAACCATTGAAGATTGTGTTCAATTTTAGGTTAATAATCGACATTGATCACGTGACTGTTCAGACAGTCAGATGTTCTTGCTGAAGGACTGGAGGACAAGATGCTCTTTGGATAATCTCAAAACATACTGGAGAACTTTCTGAAATTCATGTTCATTTTTTTAATTAAATAATAAAAAACTGAAAACTCAAATTGTGTTGCTTATTATGGAAGTTGTATTTAAAAATGTTGCATTACATTATAAAAATGCAAAGTACAAGCATTTTTACCAGTGATTTCTGACTTTTGGACCCCACTGTACGTACAAGACTATGTTGTGTGTGTATGGATGTGTGTCACTCACCGCTCTCACTCTTTTCAATCACCTCGACTCTCTCTCCTGCTTTCAGGCTGATTTCTGTATTTTCCTGACGCTGGTAGTCTGCCGTCACCACATACACACACATACACTCCTCTACACCCAGGGCTTCTCCATGTTCTCTCCCTGAGGATGATGGAAAAAAACAGGCCGTAAGCCAGCTGCCTCCACGCCCGCGTCCACCTGAACTGCGCCGCGCCATTCACCAAAACCAACACAGCCCCAGCCAATCAGCACGTGGTACCAGATCAATGGCTCATCCAAGAATCAACAACAACACTGGCCCAAAGAGGCTCAGATCTGTGGAGTTAATGTCTCAACAAGCAAAAAGGCTCAGGTACAACAAATCCTACTTTCATCCAGTCTCATCCCACCTTAAAGTTCCAAGGTAAAAGGTTTTGAGCAAGCACAGTTCAACCTGAAGCACATCCTACCGGCCCTGGGCTCAGGGGTCCAACCAACGACAAGACTCATATGGGCTCTGGCATCTCCTCTAAGAGTTTCAGATCCCTTCTGCAGCAGGACACAGGCCTGACTAAATAAAGAAATGGAGCAAAGGGGGAAAAGAAAGACAGAGAGAAAAGGAAAAGGGGTAGCTGACGAAAGGAGTGAAAGATGAGATGAGGAAAATAAACCAAGAGCTATGGGCTCAAGGGGCGGGCAATAGAGAAAGGGGAAACAGATGCCAATCAAATGATGCTCCACCCCTTTAAAACAGTTTAAACAGAAACATATGGCCTATGAAAATAGAGTATACTCACACACTCAGCACATACTCGCATTCTCTCCAACTTTGTTCACATTCTCTGAAACACATCCTACGGCTCTCCGACACAAAAACAGCATGGTCACATTTGAAACACTGATTCTCTATTTTCAAAGAAAAAACAAAGACTACATTAATGGTAGTTTTTAGCATTAGCTTTAGGACTCAATTCATCTCTATAAAAAACATTATATTGTTTCCGGAATTTATGCTAATTGAAAAAAAAGGATTTAATACAGTAAAAATACAATAGTGTAATATGGCACTTTACCTGCACTTTATTGTACATCGTCAGTATGTACAGTACATTTACAGTACATGACAGAAGTTGAAAGACTGTGAGTGTGTGTGTGTGTATATATATATATATATATTTATACAACAGTTCGTTTTGGTTCTCAAATCTGATTGGTTGAGAACCATGCGATATTGTATGAATATATGAATTTGAATATTACTGTTTTTTGTTCAAATAACTGTAGCCTTGACCTCTTTCAAAAAAAATCTTACCAAACCCAAACTTCTGAACAATAGTGTAACTTTGCACAAAAGTAAGTGATTCTTTCACTCATGTAATATAGTCTTTGTGGCTATATTTAAAACAATGTGTTTGTGTTAATGTTTATTCTGGTGCAATTATTATTCTACTGTACACATTGTTATTGTAATTTTATCACTGAATTTGTTTATTTAAAAAAAACAAAGACTACATTAATGGTAGTTTTTAGCATTAGCTTTAGGACTCAATTCATCTCTATAAAAAACATTATATTGTTTCCGGAATTTATGCTAATTGAAAAAAAGGATTTAATACAGTAAAAATACAATAGTGTAATATGGCACTTTACCTGCACTTTATTGTACATCGTCAGTATGTACAGTACATTTACAGTACATGACAGAAGTTGAAAGACTGTGAGTGTGTGTGTGTGTATATATATATATATATTTATACAACAGTTCGTTTTGGTTCTCAAATCTGATTGGTTGAGAACCATGCGATATTGTATGAATATATGAATTTGAATATTACTGTTTTTTGTTCAAATAACTGTAGCCTTGACCCCTTTCAAAAAAATCTTACCAAACCCAAACTTCTGAACAATAGTGTAACTTTGCACAAAAGTAAGTGATTCTTTCACTCATGTAATATAGTCTTTGTGGCTATATTTAAAACAATGTGTTTGTGTTAATGTTTATTCTGGTGCAATTATTATTCTACTGTACACATATTGTTATTGTAATTTTATCACTGAATTTGTTTATTTAATTTTTTAAGGTCGCATCACATGTTGATATTCAAAATCACTCTTGTTGAAATTTTAGAAACAGCTTAAAGGGATAGTTCACCCAAAAATGAAAATTCTGTCATCATTTACTCACCCTCATGTCGTTCCAAACTTGTATGAGTTGCTTTCTTATGTTGAACACAAAATAAGATATTTTGAAGATTGCTGGTAATCAAACAGTTGGTGGTTGCCATTGACTTCCATAGTATTTTTTTTCCTACTATGGAAGTCAATGGCAACATAGTTTTTTTGGTTAACTATCCCTTTAAGTCCTTATCTTCATACATTTGCATTTAAAGCATTTTTGCAGATGCTGTTATTTGGAGTGATTATTCTTTAAAGAGTATCCTGAGTATTTCAGTCCTATTTTCCAGTCCTCAAAGCTGCACACACACACACAGAGTTTGATAAACTTCAAATTTTCACAGTGTACCAATAAAGGAATGTTTTATTCCCTTTTTACAGTCCCTCTTTCTCTGCGTTTTGTTCTTCATTTTTTCTCTTTCCTTCCCTCCCATGGCTCCCCTCTCCTCACTCCTCATTCACCCCATCACACTGAAGCCACTTCCTCTCTGCCACGTCAACGGCCTCCCTCTGAACTGCTTTTTCTTCAAAATCACAGAATCCCTTTCTCTCTTTTTCTGACGCTCCTTTCTCCCAATTACTCTCTCTCTCTGTCTCTCTGACCCCGATATCATATTTTACATGGACTGCATGTCGTTGTTGCTTATTTCTGCAGTAGGCCTGTTTTTCTGCAGGAATTCAGCTGACCTCATGAACAAACAGGCACAATGTACTTTCTTACATTATAAATCTTACATTATAGCTGCACATTCAGTACTGCATACTAAATTACACTTAATCAAGTACATAAATGTGTTACAACTCTGCTTGGTTTGACATGAAAAATTAAATGAGTGATTAAGCTGCGACTACAGCACAAACTCAGGAAAAATATAATAATCTGTGTGCTCTCAGTAGTTTTATGCTGCACACGGTGTTTATGTGTGTTTCTGACCTAGAATAGAGACGAAATTGCTTAAAAATATTCTAGAAGAGAATGCAGGGGTCTCAATATGTCTTTTTGAAGTTTTATTACGTTTAGTTTGATACGCCATCTTAAAATGCAGTGCTCATAGAACCAGTCGCTGAAAAAACAGCAAGACATGATGCAATGGCCAATGACATCAGTCTGTCTCATACATACATAGACCAAGAATGAACATTTCAGACACAATGTTCACAAAAATGTATTTTAATCATCTTCTTTTGGAGGGTTTTCTCAGCAAATTGTAATATTAATAGAGCGCTGCAGCCATGACATCAAAACCCAGAAAACGTCTCAGGTTACTTATGTAACCATGGTTCCCTGAGTAGGGAACGAGACACTGCATCCTCTAGGGGTCGCTATGGGGAACGCCTCGTCGTGACCCGTGTCTGAAGCATACATTGAAAAAACACCAACTCGTTGGCTGGCGACAGCCATGACGTTACTACCGGTGCGACTATAGTATAAAATAGGCGCCGGGAGCATACATCATTCACTTCTTCGTCTGAAGCTTGCGTCCGCAGCATGGCAAGAAACCTAGAGGACGCAGTGTCTCGTTCTCTACTCGGGGAACCATGGTTACATAAGTAACCTGAGACGTTCCCTTTCATGGGAACTTCGAACTGGGTCCTCTAGGGGTCTTATATCTTAAAAACTGATGAACATTTTTGTTCTGCTGCATGGGACAAATAAAATGTGTTAACTGTTTTTGACAAGACTGAACTTTGAACAGCAAAAATATACATTCTGCATATCACAACAGAGGCCAATTTGATTGAAATTCCAACTCAAGAATATCAGCTATTTTTATAATAGGGATAACAGTGATTTCTCCCACACTATTTACATACAGATAACTGTGTATTTATATGACTGCAGAGGTTGATGTGTTTTGCATGGAAATAGAATATAATCCTGTACCTTCCACATAGAGCTGGAGCTCACAGAAAGCTGTTCCGCGCCTCACGTGAGCCTTCAGTCGGGCCGGAGCGTTTGCAGCGACCGCAGGCGTCAGTAACTCAAGGGCCTGTGGGAAAGTTAATGTGAAGGGTCATTTAAAAAAGAACATAAACACTAAAAACTGACCTGAGAGCTGTCCTCAATGGCTTTGTGGAGATTTCTCAGTTTGAGATGACAGGCTGCTCGGTTAGAAAATAAAGCCGGGATCTTCCTGTTGAGTTTTATGCCGAGATTATCGGCATTGACAGCGGCCTGGTAGTTTCCTGCCATGAACAATTTACTGCAGAAAAAGGGAAAAAAGGTGATTTGATGTTTAATAGTCTTTAAAAATATTTTACACTTGCTTTTATATTTTGTTATATAATGCATTCAGACATTTGTAAATGTGACAAGTGTACAAATACTGTAGTGGGGCCACTGTAAGATGTTTTTTTTATTTTTTTATTAATGCTTTTATTCAGCAAGGATGCATTCAATTGATTAACCAATGGCAGTAAAGACATTTATAGTTACAAAATATTTCTATTTCACATAAATGCTGTTCTTTTCAACTTTCTATTCATCAGAAATCAAAAAAATAAATGCGTCACAGTTTCCACAAAAATATGAAGCAGCTGATAGTAATCAGAAATGTTTCTAGTAATCAGCATATTAGAATGATTTCTGAAGAGCATGTGACACTGAAGACTGGAGTAATGATGCTGAAAATACAGCTTTGATCATTGCAATAAATTACATTTTACTATATATTAAAATACAAATCAGTTATTTTAAATTGTAATAATATTTCACAATTTTTTGATCAAATAAATGCAGTCTTGGTGAGCAGAAGAGACTTCTTTCAAAAACATAAAAAAATCTTACCAAACCCAAACTTCTGAACAATAGTGTAACTTTGCACAAAAGTAAGTGATTCTTTCACTCATGTAATATAGTCTTTGTGGCTATATTTAAAACAATGTGTTTGTGTTAATGTTTATTCTGGTGCAATTATTATTCTACTGTACACATATTGTTATTGTAATTTTATCACTGAATTTGTTTATTTAATTTTTTAAGGTCGCATCACATGTTGATATTCAAAATCACTCTTGTTGAAATTTTATAAACAGCTTAAAGGGATAGTTCACCCAAAAATGAAAATTCTGTCATCATTTACTCACCCTCATGTCGTTCCAAACTTGTATGAGTTGCTTGCTTATGTTGAACACAAAATAAGATATTTTGAAGATTGCTGGTAATCAAACAGTTGGTGGTTGCCATTGACTTCCATAGTATTTTTTTTCCTACTATGGAAGTCAATGGCAACATAGTTTTTGGGTGAACTATCCCTTCAAGTCCTTATCTTCATACATTTGCATTTAAAGCATTTTTGCAGATGCTGTTATTTGGAGTGATTATTCTTTAAAGAGTATCCTGAGTATTTCAGTCCTATTTTCCAGTCCTCGTCCTCAAAGCTGCACACACACACAGAGTTTGATAAACTTCAAATTTTCACAGTGTACCAATAAAGGAATGTTTTATTCCCTTTTTACAGTCCCTCTTTCTCTGTGTTTTGTTCTTCATTTTTTCTCTTTCCTTCCCTCCCATGGCTCCCCTCTCCTCACTCCTCATTCACCCCATCACACTGAAGCCAGAATCATATTAGTCTTGGCCTGTCACACAGGGGCTACCACACGTTTCTCTTTGTATG